AAAAAAAAAAAAAAAAAAACAAGCTGGGCTGGTGGCTCATGCTTATAATCCCAGCACTCTGGAGGCTGAAGCAGGAGGATCACCATGAGATCAAGGCCAATGTGGGTTACATGGTGAGTTCAAGGCCAGCCTAAACTATATATAAAGACCCTGTCAAAAAAAACCAAACAAACAAGCTGGGCTGGTGGCTCATGCTTATAATCCCAGCACTCCAGAGGCTGAAGCAAGAGCATCACTGAGTCGAGGCCAGCCTGAAGTGCAGAGCGAAACCCTGCCTCAAAAAGACAAAATAGAAAAGAACCAGACAAGGTGAGCGTTGTGGTGCATGCATATAATCCTAGCACTCAGGAGGCAGAGGTAGGAGGATTGCTGCAAAGTTGAGCCCAAACTGGGATACATAGTGAGTTCAAGACCAGTCTGAACTACATAGACCCAACTCAGAAACAAAACAACAAAAAACCCCAAGCAACAACAAGAGCAAAAATATAATAAAAATAAAACCTAGGGCTGTATATGTAGCTCAGTGGTAGAGTGCTTGCCTTGTATGCACAAGGCTTGGGGTTCGATCCCCAGCACCACAAAAAATAAAAAAGTTTAAAAAACAGCACCTAGCTTCATTATTGTAACTAACATTTTTTTAAAATTTTGTGCTGGAATATTGGGATAGGTACACATGGAGGCTTTTGCTGTACTGGCCTTTGTTGAAAAATATGTTGAAATTTTCTGATTATCTTTTCTTATCAGTACATGCTTGAGGTACATAATGATTACAGTTATTACAGTTAGACAGTTGGTGCATGTACAGAACACATTTTAATTATTCTGTCTTTGTTTTCATCCTCTACCCTTGCCCTCCCTCTCTGATCTTTCCAATTCTTGGTCCCCTTCCCATCTGCAAAAGCTCCATTTCCTTTTTTTTTTTTGAGAGCGTCTCACTATGCAATTCAGGCTGACCTTGAGCTCATTTTGTAGCCCAGGCTGGTCTCAAACTCACAGCAATCCTCCTGCCTCTGCCTCCCAAGTGCTGGGATTACAGGCATGCACTACCACACCCAGCAAAAGCTCATTTTCGTCATTTTTTTCCCTTCAATTGTGTTTGTTTCCCTCCCTTTCCTCCCCCTGTTCATCTCTTGTTTCCCCTACCTATTTAAAAAAGACATCCCTACTTCCTGTTTGTCTTCTAGATTAAGATACATGTGTGTACATATGTGTGTGTATTTTGCGTTTCTTATATAAGAGAAACCATGTGATATTTAAGCTTGTGTGTCTTGACTTATTTCACTTAATATTATGGTCTTCAGTTGTATCCATTTAACTACAAATGCATGAAGTTTATCTTTCTGTAAGGCAGAGTACTCCATTATGTATAAATAACACATGTTCTTTAACCATTAATCTGTTCATAAGCAGGTCATTTTCAAGATGTAGCTATTATAAATTATGCTGTCACAAACATGGATATGCATGTATCCCTGTAATCAGATGTCTTTAACTCTTTCAGAAAGATACTGAGAAGGGAAATAACTGACTCAACTGGAACTTGTGTTTTTAGTTTTTTGAGGAATGTCTCCACACTAATTACCATAGAGGGTGTACTAGTTTACATTCCCACAAACAATGTAGCAGGGATCCTTGTTCCTGACGTCTTTGTCAGCATTTATTACTTGGTTTCTTGATAATAGCCATTTTTTCTAGAGTAAGATGGTGTCTAGTGTTGTTTTAATTTGCATTTCTGTAATGGCTAGCTATGGTGAGCATTTCTTCATGTACTTATTGCCCATTTGTGCTTCTTCTGAGAAGTGTCTATTAATTTCAGTTTCCCCCTTTGATTGGTTCTTTTATTTTGAGAGGTCTAATTTTTTTAGTTCTTTATATATTTTAGATGTTAATTCTCTGATGAGTAGCTGGCAAAGTTCTTTTCTTGTTCTGTAGATTGTCTTTTCACTCTGGTGGTTGTTTCCTTTGCTCTACAGAAGCTTTTTAATTTGATCTGATGGCATTTGTTGACGTATCATTTCTTGTGCCATTTGGATGCTGTTTAGAAAGTCTTTGCCTATACCTATGTCTTCCAGAGTTTTACCTATTATATCTTCCAACAGATTGTTTCTGTAACACTTAGATCTTTGATCCATTTTGATTTTAATTTAGTAGATGGTGACAGACATGGGTCTAGATTCAGGCCTTTGCATGTGGGTAGCCAGCTGTGCTGGTTTGGGGCTTATTTTGCAAGGGGAACAACATAATACAGGACACATACTTTATATGATTATTTATAAGTCACCCAAAGAACAGTATACAAAAGAGTGCAGGGAATCTGTCCACACACTTAAGACCAAGGAATCCACCTGAGGGCCTGGATCCCACAACAATGTCCTACATGAGTTGAGCTGAATACCCAGAGCTCATAACAATGCCTCCCATGAATCCAACTGGAGGCCCAGAGCCCATGACATCGTCTCATGCAGACCTGTTTCATGAATCTGCTGGGAAGGCCCAAAGATGAGTGGTGGAATCTACAAAGTCTGTACCAGCAAGAAGGAGGATCTGTGCTAGCAGGCTGAGGGATCTGCACTGGAGCCAGGAAGTGATGCTCAGAAGAACCAGAGCTTCCCTAAAAGGTACCACAGCCATCCTCGACAACATTGAGGTCCCGAGCTCCTCCAATGATCAGGATGGCTGAGCTCCCATCAGGGAAGCCAATGCAGCAAGCTTTTCCAGGAGGCCGGCAGTGTACCATCTTCCCCTCCGGAACCAGGCAGCCACGCTCAAGTAAGGACCAGAGCTCCCCAAAGTGAACCAAAGCCATTCTCAGTGCCAGCGAGGTCCCGAGCTGCTCGGAGGGTGAAAACAGGCAAGTTCATCAGGAAAGCCAGCTCCCCACGGCCACTCTCAGCTCCCAACAGCCTGCCTCTTCTTCTCCAGGTCTGCCTCTCATTCTGAAGGCAACAGTCCTCAGGTGGGCCTCCCACACCCAGCACCACACTCACTCAGTTCAGCTGGGGGTTACAAGTTGACCACCAGTTATCAATCCACTACACCAGCTTTCCCAACACCATTTATTAACGAAGTTATCTTTCCTCCAGCATATGCTTTGAGCCCCTTTGTCAAAGATGAGATAGTTGAATGTGCCTGGGGTTTCTGCTTCCTGTATTCTGTTCTATTGATCTACACGTCTGTTTCTGTGTCAGTACCATGTTGTTGTTATCACTGTG